GAGAAAGCATTTGGCATATTCAGGTTTCTCCCCACCACCCACCCTACATACACATACTGGGACTCTGCTGGAGGTGTCACCACGTCAGTTTCAAGAAAGATGTTGTGTTTCCTCCCTCTCTCCACTCTGCATCTAATGCTATATTGGGCCCTTCTCCCCACTTCTTGGCTCCATGTTTTAAGTGACCTCTTTTCAAACCAAGGTGGGTCTAAAGTAGTGTTGTCAAGATGGCTAAGGGCCATTGGAGAAACAGTGGAAGGAAGATGGAGAGGTTGGCTTAGAGCAGAAGAGGCACGGGTAGGCATGGGCAGTGCTGTGTGAGGCCTGGGTAGGCATGGAGAAAAGGCAGCAACTGTGTTCTGAACTGGCCACAGAGGATGGAGCCAAGGTGGATGAGTACGGGGCCCAGAGTTCAATTCTTGACTCTGGGACATCCTAGCTTTGAACTCTTAGGAAATGTACTTGATCCCATTGCTTAATATAATGGGGAGACTGTCAATACAAAGAGATTTGGGGAATAACTAAAAGTATAATGTAAGTTAAATACCATGCAGTATGGCTGACATTCAAACGCCTCCTCTGCCCTTAAAATATGAACTTAAGACAGTGCTTGGCACAGAGTTGCAGCTCAAACACTTGAAAACTTATTAGAACTCTCCCATAATGGAAGCAGCAGGCTTGAAAGACTGTGAGCTGCCATCATTGGTGGTGCTTTTACCAAACCTGCACGATTATAACAACAACAAAAACTTACGGAAGACTTTGGGCAGGGTGTGCTGTCCTAGGTACTCTGTGTTTTAAACCCTCTAACTCTCACAACAGCTCTAGAAATAGGCACTATTATTTCCCCCCCATTTTTCTTGTAAAAGAAGGAGAAGCTGAGACCTATGAAGTAACACCCTCCCTTCCAAGGGCAGGCCAGGAAGGGGAAGAGTGGGGGGTTTGGACACAGGCCTCTTGGCTTTAATTGGCATTGAACCACACCCTCTCACCCACTCACAGATGGGTTTTTGTCCACAGAAGAGCACAGTGAGAAGGGACTTTGGCATTTTGGTGAGGATAGACAGGTAGTTTTGAGTGTTTTATAGATGTTTGGATTCTTTGAAAACATGTGTGGTGGTAACCAGAAGGAGCTAGGTGGGTTCGCCCTGGGGGTGTTCTGGGAAGAAGGCACATTGAATAGGGAGAGACCTGGCATGGCCTGTGGGAACAGGTGGGATTGTTTTCTCAGAAGTGCAAAAGGAAGGCAGCCAGTTACCTACCTCCTATAGACAGGAACCAAGATGTCCTTAGAATCCTTCTGTAGGAGCGGGGAGAAAGGTACTACCCAACTGGCTGCATGATTTTAGGTCAAACTCTTTCCTTTTCCTTCTGTTTTCTTACCTGTGGAATGACAAAAGTTATTTTCCAGTTTTGGAGACAGATCTCTGTTCTTTCTGTGACTGAGGGGCATACCTTCTAGAGGACAGATCATATCCCTCTGAGCCTCTGAGTACCAAGTGTTGTTCATTAAAGCAGGTCTCTGGACAGATGATTCTGTTGTCCCTTATCATAGTCCATATTAAAGGAATCAGTGTGTTGTACCCTTTCCCCCTAAAGACTTAGATTTTTATCCTGTCTTTACAGTGACTGATCTTGGATGCGAAACAAGATCAGGTTATTTTTGCTGACCTGCTTGTTCTCCCACCTTATTAGAGTTTTGGTTGATTCTCCATTTCCATTTATCTCTAAATTCCTATAGAATCTCTCTTGACATCCACAGCTTCTTGAAACCATCCCAACTTATGGTGGTTAATCTCTCACATTGTCACTGAAGTCTTTTCAGTTACCAGCCTTCTTAACATTCAATCATCCTTTTCCCAACTGTCCATCTTTTTCCAGCTCATTTTGAAATAATGTGACAATATCAGTTTACAAACCACCTGAACCCTTTGCAATGTAGTGGAGTGCATGATGCTGGAGGGCAGCTAATACTTACTGAGTACATGTTATATGCCAAACCTTCTGCTTATAGCTGAATGACCTGATACATATGCTAACCTTCTTCCTTTCCAATGGGCATAATGACAACAACGATCTCACTGAATATTGGGAGGATTAAGTGAGGTAACACAGTGGACTGTCTGGCATATTTGAGGTGTTCTATGAATGACTAAGTGAGTAAATGTATGTGACATGGTTTTTAAACAGCTTTCAGGTGTGCTGTCCCCTGAATCTGTCCCTATTTGTTAGCATCCTTCTTTAAGGAAACATGAGGAAATAAACGCTGTCAGATGTACCCTAGCCAGAGCTTGGCCAGTCCTGAAGGACTGTGTTGTGATTGAGCATACCTCTGGCCAGGAAGATGTCAACTTATTTTGCAGTGTGGCCTCGTGTTCTTGCAGTTAGCAAACCACTCTTTCATATGGATCTTGATCAAACTATACATCTTCCACTGAATTCCTGTGGGGTTGATTTCTGGATCTTAAGACCAGGACTTTGTATTTTGACTTTTCCATGAAGTATCTTCATATAGAAAGTGAACGTAATGACACTGGAATCATTTGGGTCTAGAATTCTAGGTCTTTTCTTCTTTTTTTTAGAGACAGGGTCTCACTCTGTTGCCCAGGTTGGAGTGCAGTGGCACGGTCATATATAGTTCACTCAAGTGATACTCCTGCTTCAACCTACTGAGTAACTGGTATTACAGGTGCATGTGACCATGCCGGGCTAATTAAAATAAATTTTTTTTAATAGAGATGGGGTTTTGCTATGTTGCCAGGCTGGTCCTGAACTCCTGGCCTCAAGCAATCTTCCTAACTTGGCCTCCCAAAATACTGGGGTTACAAGCATGAACTGTGGTGCCCAGCTTAGAATTCTAGAATTTTTCCCTAGTTTGTGACTATGGACAAGTTACTTAGTCTCTCTAAGCCTCTGTGTCCTTCTTCAGACAGAGGAAATCCAGAACAGAGAACTGGTTCACAGAAAGGAGATGGCAGGAAGAACAGCAAGTCACTTCTGCCTCTGAAACTGCAGGGATGGTAGGAGGAGGAATATTAGCAAAGCCTAGAAGCTGGGCTCTTCCAGCCACAGCTGAGACACAGCAGAGCCTGCTTGGTGAAAAGAGGACCCTGTGTTAGTGGCCTCCTATTCCCTCTCTTGGGGAAGAAGGATTCTTACCCTGTCATATGGGATAGCCAAATTCATAATACCTGACACAGGCCAGATGAGACTGGCAGATGTTTATTTCTTTATTTTTTTTGAGTTGGTGTCTCACTCTGTTGCCCAGACTGGAGTGCTGTGGCATACTCATGGTCACTTCAGCATTGACCCACTGGGCTTCGGTAATCCTTCCACCTCAGCCTTCCAAGTAGCCGGAACTGCAGGCATGCGCCACTGCGCCTGGCTAATTTTTTTTTTTTTTTTGAGTAGGAGTCTCTCTCCGTCGCCCAGACTGAAGTGCAGTGGCACGCTCCTGGCCACCACAGCCTCGACCTGCTGGGCTCCGGCGATCCTTCCGCCTCAGCCTTCCCAGTA